TAAGGGGATTACAATGCGTATCTCTTGTCCGTACACTCCTCAGCAAAATGGCAAGGCTGAGCGCATGAATAAAACACTAATCAATATGATCCGCACGCTTCTGCATCAAGCTCACTTACCCCATGCATTCTGGGTAGAGGCTTTATATACTAGTGTCTATCTGTTAAATCGTTTACCTACTAAATCTACAAATGGGGCCATTCTTTTCTCCCTTCTTTTTGGTCATCCACCTAACTATAGTTCCTTAAGGGTGTTTGGGTGTTCCTGTTTTCCCAATCTTTCGCATTTAGCTTCTCATAAGGTCCATCCTCGCTCCGCTCCATGTGTCTTTCTTGGTTATCCTGAATCTTATAAGGGCTATCATTGTTTTGATCCCGTTTCTAAGAAAGTCTACACTACACTTCCCTTCATGTCGTTTTTGATGAAACCTCTTTTCCATTTCCTCAACTCTCTTCGGTTCCCCAAAACAACCCTCCCCAATCTCCTTTTAAAAATCCCTCGTTCCTTATTTCACGATCCATCCCTTCATCAGAATCCTCTCCATTGGTTGCTTCTCCTTCACAAAAACATGTGTCATCCGTTCCTTTAGTATCTGCACCCACACCTTCCATTTCGTCGTCACATACTTCGAATCCCCCTATTCATCATATGGTCACTAGAACTCGTGATGGTACTCGTAAACCCAAACAGATACTCTCTCTTACTGCTACCTCTACATCCTCTTCCCTCCCTATTGAACCAAAATCCTTTACTGAAGCGAATAAATACCCTGAATGGCATGCCGCTATGAATGACGAATTTAATGCTCTCCTCACTAATCATACATGAGACTTAGTCCCTCCCCCTGCTTCTGCCAATATTATCGGCTCCAAATGGATTTTTCGAGTCAAGTTAAAATCTGATGGCTCTCTTGATCGATGTAAGGCACGTTTGGTCGCTCAAGGCTACAATCAGCAGCCTGGACTTGATTATGACCAAACGTTTAGTCTGGTGGTTAAACCTGTGACGATTTGGACTGTCCTAAGTATTGCTGCCTCTCAAAAATGGCCCGTTCATCAGTTGGACGTTAAAAATGCGTTTTTGCATGGTCATCTTAATGAAATTGTCTATATGAAACAACCTACTGGTTTTGTTCATCCAGACCATCCTCACTATGTCTGTCGGTTGAACAAAGCTCTTTATGGCTTAAAGCAAGCTCCCAGAGCTTGGTTTCATCGTTTCACTGCTTTTTTGCTCACACAGGGTTTTAAAGGCAGTCGCTCGGACACTTCCATGTTTGTGTACTCTTTTGGATCGGATATGGCTGTTTTGTTACTTTATGTTAATGACATTCTCTTGACAGCTTCGAACAATCATCTCCTCACTACTATTGTTCATTCGCTGAAAGGAGCTTTCGGAATGACGGATCTTGGTCCAATCCGCTATTTCCTTGGTATTTCTGTTGCTCCTCACTCTGGTGCTTGGTTTTTACACCAACGCAAGTATGCTGAAGAGTTGCTTGCTCGCAGTCATCTCACCGATGCCAATCCAGTTGCAACCCCACTTGCTCCGGCTTTTCAATTTTTGGTTGATGAGTCTCTGCCTTTTCATAATCCGACTCTCTATCGGAGCTTCGTGGGTGCATTACAGTATCTTACTTTCACCAGACCGGATATTCAGTATGCGGTTAATCTTGTCTGTCAACATATGCATGATCCTCGTGAGCAGCACTTTCAGGCGGTCAAACGCATTCTCCGTTACATTAAGGGCACACTTCACTATGGTACACATCTCCGTGCTGGCCCCCTTGATCGCCTTATTACATATTCCAATGCGGATTGGGCTGGATGCCCTACTACTCGCCGCTCTACGACTGGATTTTGTGTTTTTCTGGGTTCCTCCCTAGTTTTCTGGTCTTCCAAGAAACAATCCACCATGTCTCGATCTTCTGCTGAGTCTGAGTATCGTGCTGTTGCCTTTGCGTTGGCTGAATCCGTCTGGTTGGAGAATCTTCTCTTTGAACTTCAAGTCAAACTCTCACATCGCCAGGTCATCTTGTGTGATAATGTTTCTGCTACATACCTCGCTGCAAATCCAGTTAATCATGCTCGCACCAAACATATTGGTCTAGACATTCATTTTGTTCGTGAACGTGTTGCTGCTGGTCTTTTTCGGGTCCTTCATATTTCCTCACAATCCCAGCTTGCAGATGCCTTTACCAAATCTTTACCTAAGGATAAATTGTATTTGTTTAGAACCAATCTAGGCATGATTACTTCTCCTGCTACGATTGTGGGGATGATAGAATAGGAAATTAATCAAAACCCTAATTAGGGTTTCCTATTTAGATGGCTAGGGTTGTTATGCTATTGTACTATAAATACCACAATGTATCATGTGAATAACACACACAATAATTCTTTCAACATACACTAATCAAAACAAATTTGTAAAATGGGTAAACAAGGTGCTTGAGTCCCGTAATCAAACAGTGGCGTTGAGGAAATTCAAAGTTCGTATTAATTCGGATGATTCCATTGGGGCAGAAATGAATAACTGGGTTCAGTTCGCCTCTGATAAAGGTGTTGACGAGCTGGAAGTCAACCTGTGCCAGCATGGTCCCTGTGGCTTCAAAATTTGTTATATGTTTCCCTCTGCAATTTTTGCCGCACGGGGACAGAGGAGTTGGGATTGTCTTGAAGTATTGATCTTGAATTTTTTTTTGCGCAACTTCAAATTCCTGAAAAAATTGCAGGTAAACGGGACTTCTGTCAATTTAAAGACTTTGCAAGTCTGTGGTCCGTCTCTGGCGCTTCGGCATCTGGACCTTGGATATTGTCTCCTGGAAACCCTTATTGTGTGCAATGCTTATAATCTAATCTCGCTTAAGATCAACATGCCAGAACAAGGACTAGTGCTTAAGAATGTTCCCCGGCTCATTGATCTCAAATTTTGCACTTTTATTTACAAACTTAAGGATCTTCTTCAGGGGCTTTCATGTGTCCTTTCACAACTGGAGATTCTTTCCTTATGCATGGATCTTAAAAGAAAAGACTATTTTAGAAAACTTCCTCAGCTATCTGCATTGAAGCAGCTATGTGTACAACTTTGTCCTGGTAAAGAAAAGAGCCTGTGTGGATTGAGCGACTTCTTTAGGGCATCGCCCCCAACCTGGAGCAATGCATTGTAGACGTGCGTTACTTATACCACAAAGAAGAAGAAGATAGTGTCCACAGCGACAACGATGAGACAGAGAATGTCGAAAATTGCCCTCTTCGACGTCTTAGAGTGGTCGAGATATCTGGATATCGCGGCCGTACATTTGAATTGCAACTTGTGAAGTACTTCCTTGGAAATGCGATTTCACTCGAGAAGATAATTATCAATCCACATTATCGGCGCATGTTATTAGACCAAGAACCTTGGTTTCAAGATACGACGAAATTTGATCTGATTATAAAGAGTGGGAGAAGGTGTGCTGAGCAGCAACTCTTGGGAATAATGCCTTCACATGTCACATTACACATACTTTAGCTCTCAACTCCATCTCCACGTACGGTTGATCTAGTCTTTTAATAATAAAGCTCTGTTGTTAGTTTCTCTGTTTGCATAGTACTATAAATACATACATCCGTTTGAAACCTTGTCCTTCAGTTGTTTGTAATGTGGAGATGTATGCAAACTCACCTGTACTTCAACTCCGTGTTTATATCTGCACTGACAATCTTAATTTTTGACAACCTGGGAATAGTAATTTGTTTGAATAGTAAAACTAAAATTGAATAAACATATTAGAACAGCCTCAATAGAATGAAACAGGACTTTTCCATGGAAATGGAGTCAAACTATTCAGAGGATTGAAGTTTGTTTTCAAGGATCATCTTATCTGTCTGCATGCTGCTCTGTGACTGTTCATTCTATTTGTTCACTTTTCTACCAATTCATGACACCCAAAGCACACACACATAAAACCCGTCTACGAATTATGAACTGATTTCAACGATTGATTTTAATATTTTGATTAGAGCCATTAATTTTTTATTTTTTTTAGGAAGGTCCTGTTTATATTAAGAACATATTTTATTACAACACATTGTGTTACACGCTAATTTATTCTATTTCAACACATTACGTGCGCATGCATATGACCAAGAGATTGATTTATTTTTTATTTTTTATTTTTTATTTTTTGGGACCGAAAGAGTGATCCTTTCTTGCTGATAAGAGTTTTAAAGTTCATCTACTTCTTTTTGGAGCATAAATTCAATGGGACCAGCCCATATGCATGATGAAGATTTTAACTTGGTTCGTGATAATTTTTTTTTTTACTAAATTGACAAGTAGAGATAAAGTTTCGCCCTCACTTGGTGTGAATTATTTATTTTTTATTGTTATTTTCACTTAGTATGTTTGGGTAAAATTTGATTCAAGTCAAAAGAAGAGATCCATAATTAATACATTTGGAATAGTTTCACACGACTAGGGTTTTTATTTTGCGTTAGTACTTATAGCCTAATTGTTTCGGAGGAGGATTCACAATGGAAGGTCATACATAAACTTCTAAAGTTTTAAAATGTTTATACTTATAGCTTTTTCATATCTTCAAAGTATACTTTATTTTGTAAGTTAAACTAATATTGATCATTATATTTTATTACTTTTTTAGTCCCAAAACGATTATCATGTTTTCGTGTGTATAGTTGACCATTTAAATTTATTAAGTCGGATAGTTATGTGGGAGGCAGAGGGAGTATTTGTTATTTATTTATTTATTTTTAAACATCGTATGAGTGTTAAACCCAAAAAAAAAAAACATTGTATGTAAATTTTTATTTGTATTATTATCGATGTATATACACAAGGATTATTTCGAACAATTTTAAAATACTAGGATATAACTTGTTCTTTATGTGATGATCGATACTGGGTCACTCAAACCCTAAGCTTATACAAAACTCCTAATAAAGAAGAGGCGGACACATTCCCCCTGCGAATTGAGGTCTGATGGAATATCATTAATCATGATGGGGGATTTCGGACGGCGGAAACCAGTAACTGAAGATTGGATTAGTGGGCTTCCAGACGATATCCTATGTTGTATCCTGTCGTTTGTAACGCTAAAAGAAGCCGGCAGAACAAGTGCTCTGTCCAAAAGATGGGAGAATGTGTGGAAGTTTGTTACCGATCTTGATTTTGATGCAATCCCAACATTATTTGAGGCCGAAACCGATGAGGAGTACAGAATTTCACTCAAAAGAGAAATGCCAAAGTTTGTTGACTGGGTTCACAAGGTGCTTGCATCCCGTAATCAAACAGTGGCATTGAGGAAATTTAGAATTCGTATTCATTCGGATGATTCCATTGGGGCTGAATTGAATAAGTGGCTTCAGTTCGCCTTTGATAAAGGTGTTGAACGGCTGGAAGTCAACCTGTCATGGCACGGTCCCTGTGGCTTTAAAACTCATTATGTTTTTCCCTCTGCAATTTTCGCCGCCGCACAGAGACAGAGGAGTTGGGATTGTCTTAAAGTCATGATCATGAAGCGTGTCGCTGTCTCCGGTGACGATCTTGATTTTTTATTGCACAACTGCAAATTACTTGAAACTTTGCGGGTGCATTGGTCTAGTACTTTGAATGCTTTGCAAGTTCGTGGTCCGTCTTTGGCAATTCGGCATTTGGATGTTCGCCATTGCTCCTTGAATTCCCTCATTGTGTGCAATGCTTATAATCTTGTCTCGTTGAAATCCGGCTTGCCGCGACAAGAACTCGTGCTTAACAATGTACCCCGGCTCGTGGATACTCACATTTGTATTCTTAGTTACTATGCGAAGGATCTTGTTCGGCGGCTTTCATGTGCTTTTTCCACTCTGGAGATTCTTGTCATATTGATGGAGGCTGAGATGAATAAAGAGTACGTCGGGAAATTTCCTCAATTACCTACACTGAAGCAGTTACGAGTACGACTTTTTTTTCGCAAAGACATGAAGAGCCTGCGTGGATTGACCGACTTGTTCAGGGCATCACCCAACCTAGAGCAATGCATTATAGACGTGCTGTACTTACACCGAGATGAAGAAGTTAGTGTTCACGGTGACAGCGTTGAGAAAGCGAATGTTGAAAATTACCCTCTTCGACATCTTAGAGTGGTGGAGATATCTGGTTGTTGCGGCCGTGCAGTTGAATTGCAACTTGTAAAGTATTTCCTTGGAAATGCGAGTTCCCTGGAGAAGATAATTGTGGCTCCACGTCGCCTACACATGGTATTAACCGAAGAACCCCTGTTTCAAGATAAGACAAGATTTGATAGGATGACAAAGTGTTGGGGAAGGTTTTCTGAGCAGCAACTCTTGAGAATAATGCCTCCACATGTCACATTACAGATACTTCAGCACTCTGAACACCATTTTCTCAGTGGGTGGATCAAGTCGTAGAAGGAATAATAATGTCATCATAAGCGCTGTTATTTTTTTAAGCTCTGCTGTTAGTTTCTCTGTTACTTGGAGATACCCTTCCCGGTAATGTTTTCTAGTGGTAATAACTACATATCCATTTGTCCCGGTATTGTTTTCTAGTGGTAATAACTACATATCCATTTGAAACCTTGCCCTTCAATTGTTTGTTGTGTACTGAAGATCTTATTATCTTAATATTATACAACTTGGGAATACTGATTTGTGTAAATAGTAAGAGTCTAAAACTGAATATATATATATACATATATATGTGTGTGTGTGTGTGTGTGTGTGTGTGTGTGTGTGTGTGTGTGTATTATCACCTTCTTCAATTGTTACATTTAGTCCAGCCTCACTAGATTAAAACAATATTTTTTCCGTGGAAATGGAGTCACACTATATTCAGAGGGTTAAAGTTTTCGAGGATCACCTCCACCACCAGAAGGATCCATTCATCGTCTTGTGTCCATTACCCTAGCTCATCAAATCCTTAAAGGACCATGATATTACAAATATAGTTAGTAACTATTGACAATCCAGAGTGACAAGAAAGAAATAAAGTGAATACATAACTGTTAAAACGACAAACTGATTTCAGATGAATTTTATCGAGATTTAAATGAGTTTTTCACTCGCGATGTGGAATTGATTAGAACTAATACAGATAGAGGTGATGGGGGTTACATGAAGATCGGATCAGTCAGCTTCCATTTGATCTGTTTTGAAAAAGAAAAAAAAAAAAAAAGCTTCCAATTGATATCCTATGTTAAGTGGCTTTCATGTTGCTTCTCAAACTTGGAGATTCTTTCGTTATCCCTGGATCCTGAGAGGGCTAAAGACCATGTAGGGAAACTTCCTGAGTTATGTGTAGAACTTGGTTTTTTAACAAAGAAGAGAGTATGTGTGGATTGACCGACTTCTTTAGGGAATCATCGAACCTGGAGAGTTGCATTATAGACAAAATTTACATATTCGAAAAAGTTAGTGGCAACAGCGACGAGACAGAGATTTTCGTAAATTACCCTCTTCAACATCTTAGAGTTGTCGAGATATCTGGATATCATGACCCTACAGTAGAATACAACTTGTGAAGTACTTTCTCGGAAATGCGATTTCCCTTGAGAAGATAATTGTTGATCCACGTCTCAAGTTCTTTTCAATTGGTGAAGAAGAACCCTAGTTTCAAAATAAGGCACTTATTCTAGAAGAAAATATTGACATGAGAAGCTGTTAAATGTTTTAAGCTCTATTATTAGTTTTTCGGTTACTCCTGGAAGGGGAGGTACACTTTCCAGTGTTTCCTAATGCTACTTCTGTCCGGAAGTGATTGCCCGGTTTTAAAATCTTATTTTTAATACAAATTGTCGGGAGGGAAGTAGTATTAAATAAAACGCATATCCCTTTTGCAACCTATTACTTCGATTCTTTGTAACGTGGAAAGATCTATGCAAAATGTCTCGGAACTTCCTCACTGCTTACAGCAGAAATGTTCTCAGGAAGCTTAGTTCCGCAACCCAAGACGTCAATATTAGAACCAGAAGACTTTAACGAAATCCTGGAGATGATGCAATATGAAAATCAAGATGACGAAAATTATGATACTCAGAAGATTGGTTCTTTTTTCCAATCTCTCCCGGCTTTAATTTCCAGATTTACAAAACTCTTCAGCAGAATTCGAAATTCATCCAGGGTTGCCCTGTCTCAAGGATTTCGATTTCCAACTGCCTCGAAACGGTTTCAAGTTTCTTTTTCATTCCCTTGACATGAAATTCTCCATCCAAATTACTAATAGCTAAAATTGACATCTGAATCTGAATTCACTGCTGATGGGTTCACGGTTTTGGAATCAATGGGACCAGCCCATTCACATGATACTAAACGCATGCTATTTGCAAACAAATGTAATGATCATTCCGATTACATATAACTTGTAAATTATACTAAAGACAGTACGATTCACAGATTACACGATGAATTATGTTTTTTGAGACACAAGAATTTCATTGCAGATTATCTTGTGTCCATATGTGGATCCCGATTACTGCCAACATTTCTTTGAAACCCCGTCTTTGACATGCAGAGGAATGACACGAATTGGATCTCCGAAATGGATCCAGGTTTTCACATTAGGAACCAGGGACGCCAGATTTCACTATCTAATATATCGAAACTACCGAGTTGTATTTAATTATCACATTACAACATCTCTGAATTTTCCCATGAGTTACTTTTCCTAGGTACTATCAAACTAAGACAATACGAAGTGATTGACCCAATCTTCATTTTGATGCCATAACTCAAGTTGACACTTTTGGGGGGTTATTCATATGTTTTTTCAGTCTCAAGTCCATTTTTGTCCAAAAAAAATAATAATAATAAAAAAACCTGTCTTAGTTCTAACAAACTGGACTAATTTTTAGATTTTCCGAATTTTAATGATCATATAACGAAACCCTAAGGGCGGCACATTGCGTTCCCCGCACAAGGCCTGATCTAATTTTAATCAATCCGAACGTGATGGGGGATTTCAGACAGCAGGAGGATTAGATACATGAAGATCGGATCAGTGAGCTTCCAAACGATCTCTTAAGTTGTATCTTGTCGTTTCTAATGCTAAAAGAAGCCGGCAGAACTAGTGCTCTGTCAAAAAAATGGGAGCATGTTTGGAAACTTGTTACCGAACTGGATTTTGATGCGATCCCAATCTTATTGGAGGCAAAAACCGACGTGGAGTACATATTTTTACTTAAAAGGAAACCCTAAAGCTTGTTAACTGGGTAAACAAGGTGCTGGAGTCTCATCATCCGACAACGGCGTTGAACAAATTCAGGATTCATATTGATTCAGATGATTCCATTGCGGCTAATTTGAAAAGTGGGTTCAGTTCGCCTTTGATAAAGGTGTTGAAATGCTGGAAGTGAACCTGTGCCTCCATGGTTCATGTGACTACAATGTGTTTGATGGTTATACAGAGGAGTTGGGATTGTCTTAAAGTATTGATCTTGAAGAATGTCATTGTCTTCAGTGACGATATCGAATTGTTTCTGCACAACTAAAAATTCCTGGAAAAGTTGCAGGTAAACAAGACTATCAAATTGAAAACTTTGCAAGTCTGCGGCCCGTCTCTGGCGCTTTGGCATCTGGATCTTCACTCTTCTCCGTTGAACACCCTCATTGTGCGCAATGCTTATAATCTTATCTGGCTTAAGATCAACCACCCGCATAAAGAACTAGTGCTGTACATTGTTCCCCGGCTCATTGATGTTAAAATCTGCGGTTTTATTTACAAACTTAAGAAAGTTGTTCAGGGGCTTTCATGTGTCCTTTCATATCCGTGGATCTTAATACTACTAAAGATTATGGAGCGAAACTTCCTTAGCTATCTGCATTGAAGCAGTAACGTGTACGAATTCTTTTGTTCAAAGAAGAGAGCATGCGCGGATGGACCGACTTCTTCAGGGTATCACTCAACGCGGACAGGATCGTTGTAGACATGATTTACTCATACGAAGAAGAAGTTAGTAGAAGGTTCCGTAATGAGACAGAGAAGAATATCAAAAATCACCCTCATCGGCATCTTAGAATGGTCAAGATATCTGGATATCGTGGCCGTACAGCTGAATTGCAACTTGTGAAGTACTTTCTTGGAAACACAAGTTCCCTCGAGAAGATTATTGTCGATCCGTGTTATGGACGCCTGTCATTTGGTGGAGAACCATGGCTTCATGATAAGAAAGAACTTGATCGGATTATAAAGCGTGGGAGAAAGTGTGCGGAGCAACAACTCTCGAGAAGAATACCCTCACGTGTCACACTGTTGTTACTTTAGCTCGCAACACCATTTCCACAGGGTTGATCAAGTCGTAGAAGGAATAAATTGACACGACAGAGAATAATATCGGTCATACAACTTGGGTTTATTGATACGGCTCATAAGAGCTTAAATAAGCAAAGATACAAGGGTTAGGGTTTACGGTAAAACCCTAATTTACAAACTTAATTACTAATATACCCCTCTATACATATAAACATATATATACGTTAACACCCCTCTCAAGCTGGAGCATGCGGATCACAAATGCCCAACTTGGACAAGAAATAAGCAAACTGGCGTTCTCCCAAAGCCTTGGTAAAAATATCAGTAAGTTGCGAATGTATAGAAACATACTTGGGGAGAGATAACACCCTGGACAAAAGCATCACGTAAAAAATAATAGTCCACCTCAATGTGCTTAGCACGCTCGTGGAAAACAGGATTAGCAACAAGATGGAGAGCCGATTGACCATCACAATGAAGATGCATGGGTTGGGAATGTCGAATACCAAGACTAAGCAGCAGAGCTTTCAACCACTTAAGCTCACAAACAGTATTAGCCATGACCCGATACTCAGTTTCAACAGAAGAATGGGAGACAACCTGCTCCTTCTTAGCACGCCAGAAAACAGGAGACAAACCAAGAGTTATAAACCAGCCAGTAAGAGAGCAACGAGATAGGGGACAAGCAGCCCAATGAGAGTCACACAAACCATAAAGCTGAAGATCACTATAAACACGAAGAAAGATACCCTGACCAGGGTTATGTTTCAAATACCGAACCACAACCGGCGCATCTCAGTGAGCGTGCAGAGGAGACTGCATAAACTGTGCTAACATATGGACAGAATAAGAAAGATCAGGACGAGTGACAGTCAGATAAATCAATCGACCAACTAGTCGACGATACTGCTCAGGATCAGAGTACGAGGATCCCTCAGCCAGCGGAAGATGATGATTCTGGTCCATGGGAAATAAAGCAGGTTTACCACCAACAAACCGATCTCAGAGAGAATATCAAGAATATACTTATGCTGACAAATAAAAGTGTCATACAAATTACGAGACACTTTCAGACCCAAGAAATACTTAAGAGAGCCCAGATCTTTCATATAAAAACAACTGCTCAAATACTGCTTGAACTTGGAAATAGCAAAACTGTCAT